TCCCACCCAAACCGTTCTGTCATTCCGTGATCTCTCCGCCGCAGCCTTCGCGGATTACATCCTGATGGAGCCCAGCGAGGAGTACGCTCCCATCTTCGCCCTCATGCAGGAGAAGATCTACATGAGCAAAATCGTCGTCGAGTTCCTGCAGAACAACCGCGACGTCAGCTACGAGGACCTGCTCAATAAGATAGAGGTGAAAACCCGGCGGCGGTGGTTATCCCGGGGGTGGTTGGGTATTGGCACTCCCACCCTTTCCCTAACCAGTCGCCCCCCTCCTCGCAGACCACCGTACCTCCCGCGGGGCTGAACTTCAACCGCTTCACAGAGGATTCGCTCCTGCGGCATGCCCAGTTCGTGGTGGAGCAGGTGGAAAGCTACGACGAAGCCGGCGACAGCGACGAACCCCCCGTCCTCATCACGCCCTGCATGAGGGACTTGATCAAACTGGCTGGGGTCACCCTGGGCAAGAGGTGAGCCCCCGTATCCCCACGCTGATGCGCTGGTTTCTGAGGGGTGGTCACGCGGAAGGGTTGGATTCCCATTGGCTTTACACAGGGGATTCTTCCAGGAAAAACCCTTCTCTGCGTTCCCAGCTGGGATGACCCGAGGATTTAGGCGCAGGGGAGTGGGCAGCATGGGGAAATGGGAGCAGAAATCCTCCCCAAACTGGGAAAACCCTCTGCCTAGTGTTGCTCCGAGGGAGGAAAGGCACGGGGTTGGATCCCCCGACCTTGGCTTTGCTCTTTTTCCTGCTGTAGCATCCCTTCGGGACCCTGTGCCAGCCACGGGATGTGCCTGTTGGGGTATCCCACCGTGCCCCTCAGCTGTTGGGTGCCACGGGGAGAGCTCTACCCCCCGGGGACACTCCCTGGGTGCCGGGCTGTTCGTTGCGGCTGTAGCCGTCGGCGATACAAGGCACGGGGGTCCCCTCTCACCGCTGTCACCTTGGTCGCAGGCGAGCTGTCCGGCGGCAAGCCATCCGGCACCCTACCAAAATAGACAAGGACAAGGGTCCCACCAAAGCCACCACCACCAAGCTGGTGTACCTCATCTTCGACACCTTCTTCTCGGAGCAGATCGAGAAGGACGAGAAGGAAGACGACAAGGAGAACGCCATGAAACGCCGGCGCTGCGGCGTCTGCGAGGTAACGGCGGGGGGAAGGGCCGGTGTGGAGCTGAAGTCATTTGATTTCCCTCCCCAAAATCCCTGAGCGGACCTTTCTGGGGTTGCTCTCTTGGGGTAGGGGTGTGATTTCCCGAGGCCGCCGAGTTCTCGTCACTCCTGCCTGGGGCATCTCCACCGCGCTCAGCCTGTCCCCTCTCCCTGTTCCAGGTCTGCCAGCAGCCGGAGTGCGGGAAGTGCAAGGCTTGCCAGAACATGGTGAAGTTCGGGGGCAGCGGACGGAGCAAGCAGGCTTGTTTGCAGCGGAGGTGCGTCCTCCCCGGCAGCGACATCCCCTCTGGAGAGAAGGGGACGTGGTCCCCGTGCCGTACCCTGCTGCAGTGACAATCTCCCGTGTCCCCAGGTGTCCCAACCTGGCCGTGCGGGAAGCGGATGAGGATGAGGAGGTGGATGACAACATCCCCGAGATGCCGTCGCCCAAGAAGATGCTGCAGGGCAGGAAGAAGAAGCAGAACAAGAGCCGGATCTCCTGGGTGGGCGAACCCATCAAGGTGAGGTGTTGGGCAGGACCCCGCTGCCGGGACGAGGGTGGGCGCTTGGGGCCGTCTGGTTTGCCGGCGCCGGGAGTTAAGGCCG